ACCTCATTGCCGTGAAAGAAATTGCTTCAGATGTGAGATGTGTAAATATCAATTTCGTCTTATTACATTTATCTAACCATTGTTCATTATTATCTTAAATAAACACAGCCTTCCTCGTGAAAGTGGCGGATATATAAAAAAAATATAAATCTGCTTTTGTTAAATGGATAATTTGAATATCTTGTTTGTCTGAAGACGACAAAAGAATACCAATTTCAAAATTTTCAAAATTTTCTTTACCAACGTATGAGAAAAAAAGAAAAAGAAGAAAAGACAGGTGGCAGAAGGAGAGTGATACTGTGACGGATGTAAATGCTCAACACAGAAATCAATTTAGAAGCTTTCTTTTGGTGAGTGAGAGAACAAGCATATTTCTTAAGATTCCACACGTGTCTCTTGCTTGCTTAATTTTCAATTTCAAAAATAAAAAATTAAAATTAAAATATTAAATATTTCTTCTCTTTTTTTCTTTCTACACCTTACACTTAAAAACACACAATTTCACTCGACAAAGGGAAAAATCAAAACAAACCCAAACCAAAAAACCCTAAGTATTTTTTTCTCCTTTTCCCTCTCGTTACTTAGTTTTCTTCCAATTGTGTCAATTTAACTTCAAATTTTCAAAATTGGAACTTTATTTTTGTTAATTATTGTTTAAATTTCTGGTATTGATGTTCTTTCAAGAGTTTTTTTGATTTTTTTAGGGGAAATTTGCAGGTGAAAATGGCGAGTTCAGTGGAGAAGGAGGGTTCTGCTGCTAAAGCTGCAGCTGCAGTTGAAGAACCTGTTTCTTTGGAGCTTCCAGCTCCATCTGGTTGGACAAAAAAGGTTTAATTTTTTATTCGTGTTTTTCCCCTTTTTGACTTTTCAATTTTAGGGTAATTTGAATTCTTCTCTGATTTTCGTGTGGGGATTGTTTAATTTTGCGATTTGTGTTCTGAAAATGCTTTTCTGTTGGTTTTCCAACCTAGGGATTTGATTTTTTGTTTTCTTGAGTTTTGACCTGCTGAACGCTTTTGTTTCTAGATTCACGGTTGAGATTTGGGTATTCTGTACTCTGAATTCGGAAATTGTCTAGCTTCTGGGTGTTGAGTTGTCTGCGGGGATTTTCAAGATTATTACTGTGTTCTCTGTGATGTGTTGTCTGTGAGAGTGTTTCTGAAGTTTTGTATGACTTCTGCTTACAATTTTAGCACTGTATGGACGGGATTTGTTCAATTTGATATATGCTGCTTTCTGGGTGTTTCTCGGTCACATGAAATATTCGTTCTTTCTGAGTATTACTTGGTACAAAAGAATTTTGTTGCTTATATAGGACTGCGATTTTGAATATGGAAATTATGCTTAAATGTACATTTTGGCTTACACCGGGGAATTTCTTACTTTATTTTTGTAATTTTTTATGATATTGCAAAATGGGTACCGTGCAACTGGGCTTGTTTGTTCCTGATCTATGTGTTTTTATCATTGATCTTTTTTTCATTTGGACTAGGAAACTTGTTGAAGTATGACTTTTGTGCATTTCGTATCTCTGGGATTTTCCAAGGGATGATAATGATTTCTCAGTATTGCTGTCTTGCTGTGTTCATTTGTTTGTTCTAGGGGATAATCCTAATATGTGCAGAAATTGCCAAATAACTTCCTTTTTGACAATTGGGCATACAATATTTGTTTTCTGAAAGATAGTAAATCACAGGTTAATTGTGACTAAAGACATAATTCTAGATTTTTATGGATATCATTTTATGAAAATTTATTTTAGGGCTAGAGACATAGTGGCTATCATGATATTTGTTTTCTTGTATCAAAACCAGTTGCTACAGATTAAAAATCCCTCTTTCCTAAAGAAATGACAAAAGTTGCATAATCAGTAAGGTAGATTATGTAATTTCATGTCTGGCTCCAATTTTCAGATTTTTTTCATCTTACTATATGAAATTCTATTAGCCCTATGATAGATATTGAACATATTATTTGCTTATATTTTCACTGCTTTTACAATAAATCACAAGGTAGGAAATCATTCAACTTATGATTTTAGTTGAATCTTGTATTTTTGCACAATTTTTTCGATTATAAATATTTGTTGTTTATGTTACATTAAATGATGTTTAACTCCATGATTGTGAGTAAGGTAAGTTATCATTCTTCATTTGTCATCATATCATCACTCCAAATGAAAAAAACACCTCTTTTTTCCAAAAATTGCAAACGTTAATATTTTCATGTTTAAGATCCAATACAGCTTGCTGTTCAGTTGATCTCAAATTTTATTCTGTTTAGTTTGTCAGGTGCTCAGTTTGCTCTAAGAGAGTGATCCAACTATTACATTTTTGTTTAGCATTGATATCAAGATATAAGATTTTCAAATCTTCTGACAGATCATCTCTACTGACTTGTTTTTTTTCAAACACCAGGCTTAGTGTTGATTAGCAAATCCAACCCCGACCAGAACATGATCCACATGGTTTATTGAACCCAGTTAATAAGTCATGCCCAAGTATAAATCAGTGGGGAGGGAATAAACCTTGTCTTACCATGTAAATGTGAAATAATTCTTATTGTATTCTGTCAAATTTGTAACCATTTATTCTAATATATTCTGATATTGTGCACTGGATATGCCCACCATGTAACAGTCTTTTCATATTTCTTGAAGTAAATTTCATTGATATTCCCTGAATTTTACAAAATGTATGCTATAACCAATGCTTTTTTTATTCTAGTAAAGACATAACTCGTCTCTTAATTTTTCTAAATTGATTCTATGGAGAAAATATGAGTTTACATGATAATTTATTGTACATCTCTAGCTACACTACACGCCCTCTGGGTTATTGTATAAGACGAAACTAGAGGGGCATGCACGTAGGCATTGAATGAGAAGTATTGTTTACTTTATTTCCCAAGACAAACAGTTGGATTCATAATGAATGATGTTGTCTATGTAATCTCTATTACTGCAGTTATAGATTTGAAATGGTTTGTTTACAGTCCATATGCGTCCATTTTTGTGTTGGTTATTATGAGCCATGGACATCTGTTCTCAATCTTCACACCTTTCCTGGGTATAGCCTGAGTGTAAGAATTAAAGAGGAAAATAAAACACTAATGTATTGTGATGTGAGTAGGGAAGAATTTGATTTTTCACATTAGGGACTACTTGTAGAAGTTAATAACTTAGACCAGATCTTGTATGTGTTACAGTTGTAAATTTGTTGGATGTTATTGCCTATGAGTATTCATCAATTATATTTCCTTTGCAGTTCTTTCCAAAAAAGTCTGGAACTCCAAAAAAAAATGAGATTGTGTTCACTGCACCAACAGGAGAGGAGATCCATAACAAGAGGCAGCTGGATAAGTATTTGAAAGCAAACCCCGGTGGCCCAAACATCTCAGAATTTGATTGGGGCACTGGCGAGACTCCAAGAAGATCATCAAGAATCAGTGAGAAGGTCAAGGCATCTCCTCCATTAGAACCAAAAAGTGAGCCCTCTAAGAAGCGTTACAAAAAGTCAGCTTCAAAGAAAGAAGCTTCTGAGGAAGAAGAGGAGACAAAAGATGTGGAAATGCAAGAAGCCGATGAAACTAAGGATGATAAAGATTTAGAGCAGGAAAAGAAAGTTGTTAACGAAGAACAAGGTGATAAGGGACCGGAGGGTGCAGATGTCAAAGAGTCCATTCAACCTGTTGAAAATACTGATATAGCAAAAGATGAGGGGAAGTCCAACACTACCGATGGAGAGTTAGAAGCATCCAAAGAGAAAATTGATGACAAAGGAGCTGAGGGGTCTGAAGCTGTTCAGAATAAGGATGAAGAAATGATTGAACAACCACAGCCACAGGAGGAGCCAAAGCAAGCTGTTCAGAGTAAGGAGGAAGAAAAGATTGAACAACCACAGGAGGAGACGAACCAAGCTGTTCAGAATGAGGAAGAAAAGATTGAACAACCACAGCCACAAGAGGAGGCAAAGCAAGCTGTTGACAATAAGGATGAAGAAAAGATTGAACAACCACAGGAGGAGGCGAAGCAAGCTGTTCAGAACAAGGATGAAGAAAAGATTGAACAACAACACGAGGAGCCAAAACAAGATGGTGGATCTGGGGAAGCAGAGAAACCAGAAGCTGCCCTTACTGCTGAGAAACCAGCTGAAGTGGAAGGGGAAAATAAAGAGGAAGATAACAGAATCCCCCATGAGGCTGAAGGAGAAATCAAGGAGAAAGAAGCAACAAAAGTGCACGGTGAAGAAAATTACAAGATTCATGATATGAACAAGACTGAGTCAGAGGTGACTGTGAATGGAAGCTGAATTGTTGAGGCCAAAGCTCTTGAACAAGGAATAGAATAAACTCTTGGCTTCTGTGTCTTCTGTTACTGTGATGCCTTTAGATCTGTCCAAGGATGACTGTAGTTTTTGTTGTTATTGTTATTTATCTGATTGTTCATTGAAATGACTATAGACAATCATAGAGTTAGCCGTATAATGTACCATCTATGTATGTTCTGGAGAGACATGTAGCTTCTAGTTCCCATGTAACATTTGTATTGTATGATACCTGTAATCTTATGGACCTATAATCATGTGAGACCTTGATTTTAAATATCTTTTGTAGTGTCATCCCATGTAATGCGCCAGGTGTCATTTATCTTGAGGCTATTTACATGTTTTATTTCATTGCATGTTTCAATAAACGATGATAACAACATTAATTTTAGCCATTAGCCTTTAATATCCTTCTGCAGCTTGAAACTCCTTTCAATTTTATTATTTGATGAACAACAATAATGCATGTAGTCAAATTATATAAATTACATTACAATTAAAATTACAATTTTGTGAGACAATTCACACAAAAGCTCAAACTTCATGAGCAGTGAAAGATGAGTTTGCTGGTCTTTCCTAAACACCACAATTTGGTGACCCAGAATGGAAAATTAATGGAATCCTCTATATCTCTAAAGATGAAATAAAATTTCTTGTAGCTTCTTCACTCAATGTTCAAAGCCCTTTAAGTTTACCAACCAGTCCTGTCAAGGAGGTCCACTTCTCAAATGCTGCTGCTGAAGAAACAAAGGCAATTTTGGAGGACTTCACATCATTCTGAGCAACTGCCAAAAAAACCAGGATTAAAGATTAGTGTGCCAAAAAAACCACTCTATTCAGTTAAGCCAACACATTTTTCTGTCATGTATGAAGCTTGATCCTAATTGAATGCAACACACCTGATGAAACCAATGAAGCAAGTGAAGAATTGAATGTCTCCACCTCAGTCTTCTCTTCAGGACTGGAACTCAGCTGTTAAAACATCACCCAAAAACCATGACATATATATAAATAAGAAGCAGACCAAGAAAGAATCAATGAAATACATAAATTCTTCTTAAAATCCATCAACCAAAAACTTCAAACATCTAAATGGATATTAAAGACCATGCTTCAACGCAAATTGTATCTCTGGAATAACTTTTCAATTAGAATTTATCACTTGAAATCGATAATAAAGGCACCCATTTCTTCCAATTTTGAAATTCAGAATCAAATGGCACTTTATAACCATTTAGATATCAAACTATCAATAATGTTGCATTGTATACTAACAGACAACTTTCGGTTTGATCGAGATCGTTACGAAAGATTTCATAACAAAAGTGTTCATATCATAGTAAACACATTACTTAAAAAATAAAAATCAAAACAATATTTTACCTTATTCAAAGCAATATTGGCTTTTTGGACCCAATCAGTAGTATCCTTGCCACTCCCTAAGACAGAACCAGCTGTAGTTAGATCATTCTTTTCAATTGCTTTACCAACTTCACTCAATTTGTACACCACATCCTGAAGATACCCTGCAAAACAGAAAGAACATGCTTTTGAAATGTATTCTCCTGTCCAATTTCTTACATATAACACACAAACGGACGACAAACTGCGCCGGTAAATACAAAAAATATTCAGATTGCAATCAAAACAACGGATGCCGTCAAATACAACACATGATAATAGAACAAACTAATAATGCACATTACCTGTTTCTTTGGTGGAGGAACTGATAACACCTTGTTTCTCAAGTCTCTTGATTCTATCCTTTTTCACTTTTTCCAAAAGCTCAATATCATCATCTGCTTCAAGTATTGCAGCATTAGCATCAAACAAACCTTTACCACTCAATGAAAGGACCAAACTGGTGACAAAACCTATGGATATGCCTCTTTTGGTCACACATGGATTCACCACTTTGCAAAGTGTTGATTCTCTTTTCACATTGCATTTGATGATTGAGTTTTTGCGAACATTTGTTGGTGTTGCTAGATGAAAAGGGTTTGCTGTTGAGAGAAAATTTGTTGCCATTTATCTTTTTTTTTTTCTCTCTTTTTGTTTTTTGTTTATTTTTTTTGGCGCATGAAAATTTAGAAGACATGGCAATTTGGAACATTGGAAGGATAAGGTTGTTGTTGGATTCTGTAATCTAATCCAGTCATTTTCTAGATCCTCAGGGGTATTCTAGTCATTTACTACTTTCACGGTGGCACTGTCCTTCCAAATTACAATTGAGTTAAAGGATGCAAATTGGCCATGACATGTTCATTTTTTATTCCTGGTCCATATATGATGTCGTAAAGACTTCTTTATATCAATTATTCATTTATAATTACAGTCAAATGAGACCATTTGTATTAATTTTAACTCAATTTTTTTACTAAATCTAGTTTAACCAATTACCTGGACAAGTTAGGTCCGACCACACTCTAATTTTGTTAGATATAATTCATTTTAGTTGAGTTGCATTTAATGTGAATTTCATTTAGTATATAAGCCAAAGCTAAATTTTCATTGTAACGAAAATTTCACATTATAATATTTTTTTTTTGTTAAGAGTTACTTAAAAAAATTCTCTCTTTTTTATTTTAATCGTCTTCATTTTTTTTCTTTTGTGCACCAATAATTGGTATCAAAGTCTGATTTGGATCCATGGGAAACACCAACGGAAACATGAGTAAACATGAGGCGTGTGTGATTGATTTTGTTTTCTGAATTCACATTGAATATACGATCGGAATCGGATCAGAATCACATTTCTTAATTCTGCGGGATTGGAAAACACGAGTGTTTTGTGAGATTTGAGTGAAATCTTGTACGATATCGAAGATGAACGACAAAGATTTAGATGTGTGCGTTGTTTGACGCTCAAGATGTTCTTGACATTGTCAATGACGATTATGCAACAGTTGCAACAAATGCAACTGAAGTATAAAGGAACACATATAGAGTGATAATGAAGAAGGACCAGAAGCTTTGTTCTACATCCATCTGCGTGTGGATGTGAATGTGTTTGAGAAGATCGTTGATTCGACGACGCCAAAGGTTGCGTGGTACATATTGGTACGCTGCTACGGCGGTGATGCACCAGTGAAGAAGGTAAAACTTCAGTCTCTATGTAAGCAGTATGAGAATCTCAACATGAAGAATAATGAGAAGACATTTGATTACATCTCTAGAGTGATTCTGATCACAATTGAGATGAAATCTTGTGGAGGGACTTTCTCTGAAAAAATAATCATTGAGAAGGTACTGAGATCTCTTACTCCTCAGTTTGATTACATTGTTGTAGTAATTGAACATTCTAAGGATCTGAGCACCATGAGAATTGAAGAGCTGAAAAGCAGTCTAGAGGCACAAGAGTTGCGTCTGACTGAGAGAACCTTTGAAAGAGAGGTATAGCAGACTCTGAAGGCATCTTTTAATAGGAAAAATCAGAACCACTCTTGGTCAGAGGACATGAAAAGACATGGTGGTGTTTATCAAAAGTCAGAAGTCTCCAACTCTGACGAGAAGAAACATCATAAGGGAAAGGAGAAGTTTGTCATGAAGAAAGTTCAATGTTACTATTGTAAGAAGTTTGGTCACTTTGCTGCTCACTGTTGGTCAAACAAGGAAAGGAAATCAGAAGAAGCAAACATATCATCAGAATCCCAATTTATATTGTTATGAAGTAACGCTCTTCCAGTGTCCAAATGTTTCTCCGTCCGACACGTCATTTTTGCATATGTGACTGACTCTCGATTGATTTCAACATGTCCTTCATAATTTGGATAAGACCAAAAAACAGTTACTTCAATTTGAATTTTGATTCTTTCTCTAGTCAAACTCGTTCAACATGTAGAACTCGATGCAATACTAAACTTCTTGAAATTTTACTAAGTCCTCAGCCAGACTCTTCGACATCAGATATTGTTGTTCTCATGGTAGGTCCTTTGGTTGAAAAGCACCTTGACCTTTTCCAAAGTTTGGAGAAATTCCAACTGGCTTCTCCGTCGAATTTCCTCTTTTGGAATTTATTTTCTAGCAAATTTCCCCTTAAAAAATCCACGTTCGATTTTATTTTTAAAGAGACAAATGGCATTTTTGAAGTTCCAAACTGTTCGAAGTCATGCGCTGACGTCACTGTCATCATGGCTACTCTTTATAATGTCCCTTCGAGACATGTAGGTTCAGACTAGCCATCATGGCTTCGAGTTCCTAGGATAACGTGGACCATGCTGGAGATTCAACTCCCCACTTCATCTCGTTTTAATGGTACACTTGTCAAAAAAATTCATTTTTTATTTCTCTTTCAAGAAAATTAAAATTGAATCGTTTCTTTTCTCTGAAACTATAAATAGTTTCCTCTTATTTTTCTAACATTTTCTTCCAACTTTCTTCATTTTCTCACGAAGCTTTCAAACTTTTCTTTTTAAAAAACTGAACTTCCTCTCACAAAAATGGCTTATAAATCATGTTCTATACCAGAAGTCATGTGGTTGCATCCATCATCACGCCCACTCTTACTAGGAACCAATTATATGTTCCTGATCCTTCTTTTTAGGAGGAAAAATCACTTATATGGAAATCACATGTATTGATCCTTTTCACCATTATTGACCAATGTAGCTAGGATTAATGATTTTTTCTGGTCCTTTTTCTGATTTACAGACCAATGTAGCTAGGATTAATGAATTTTTCCCTTGTTATCATTGGAAAAAACCCTTAGAGGCCATGACAAAATCCTTAGATTTCACTTATATGGCCACTCAAGATTTTTCGTTTTTTCCCTTATACCAACGTGTCGAATTACCTCAATTAGTTGAATAAGGTAGAGTCTCAGAAAGGGAAAATTTGGAAGGATTAAGGTCTCTTCAACCTGATTCAGTTATTTAGGGTAGACCCTACATACAACCAAAACATGTTTCTAGTTGCACTCCACTTTTAGGAGGGTTCGACGAAAACCTTCCAACTACGTTGTGGAATGCTCACGCCAACATTGTTCGACGTAGCCGCCATCATTAATCTTTGACCAACGGGCAAAATGTTTGACCCTATTGTTGAAACGGATGACATTATTGGGCTCCATTAAAAACAATCCAGCTTCACTAACTTCATTGTTGATCACTTCGATGAAGTCATCCCTAAAGTCTCTGATGAAGAGCATGTGGCATTCTTGTCTTTATGGCTGTCACATTTTATTTTCTCTTCGAGCTTGAGCTTCATTTTATGAGGCCTCGAGCTTAGCATTAAGTGCCATGAATAGATTTAGCTCGACTGAAAATCCCAAGGGCACATTTCTGCTAGCAGGTCCTTTATGGCTTTTTCAACTTTGGTTGAATGCCACTTTTGAGCCATTCTTAACGCCTAACAAAATCAATCTCCCTATTGGAGCAATTAAGTATTGGCCTATTGGAGGGAGTCAACTAGCCCTACTAACATCTGCTGATAAAGGACTTTCAACATCGTAAAGCTTTACAGAGTACTACATGATGTTTTCCAAAAGATACAACTTTACTGCATCTATGGCCCCTTTCTCTGATAGGAGATATGGACCTGTGTGGTTCAAGAGAGAATTTCCTACACACGTCCCCAACCCATCAAGATGAATCCATCGAAATTTGGAAATCCTTTCTCGCCCCAAAGCTGCTTTTGACTAGGATTTCTTCCAACAAGACTCAAGTAGGTTTTGTTAGGTATCAACCCAATCTTATTTCCAAGAAATATTTGTGCTTGAGTGTTGTCAGAATGACTGAGGAGACGTGCCTTGAACTCTTAGCTGAGCAGGTTGAAATATATTAGAGCTTACCCCCTTCAAATTCTAGAGATCTTTCTACTGCACCCAAGAATTCGACACCTGGTGGAAAGATTACCAGGATGACAAGTTTGTTAACGTAATGACCAAGGAAACTCATCTAACAATGAATTTCCTTTCCTTGCAGGAAAAATTCTAAAAATATACGAGCACACACATTAAAGAAATTTGCGGTTTCCAACGCTACTTCGAGACTATGTATGATCCTCATAACCTTCGTCGAACCATCTTTGAGGCAGTGACCACCTTAAGCGAAAAACTCCTTGAAAAGCTACCTCAACTAAAGATTCCTTCCTGTGTTTAGGATAAGTATTTTTTGGCTTTATTTTTCTACAAGCAAAAATTTCCACCCTTACCTTCATGTGAAATGGCCCTAGAATTTTCGCCTCCATTTTCAAGATGGTTTGTTTGTGGAAGTTCTTTCGATGACTTGAAAAACTCATTAAAAAAACCTGCACAGAGAGTGGTTCCGATCAAGTTTGATGTACATAGCTATCAGGGACACCTTCATGTCGACATCAATAGTATTATGCGACATTGGTGATGGTGAGGCATCAAGGTTTTTTGGATTATATTCGCAACTCTTTGTATCTTTTTGCTTACCTATTTTTTTTCTTCGCAGCGATTCCCATCAAGAAAAATACTAAGGATATTAGTGTCAGCGACCAAGCTAGTCTGACCTTACAGGTAATATCAACCTTACTTATTACCTCGTTTCTTGATAACAAGCAATCTAACTTTTATGTATTTTCTCTTTTTTACAAGGTCAGAAGAAGGAGACCTCTTCGACTACTACTGCCCCCAAAGGGATGGAAAAGAAATAGATAAATGCCCTTATCGATGAAGAGATAGAAACATAAATATGTTTGATATTTTCTGCTCTCTACTGTCAAAGTTTATATATGCTCACTTGAGTTACATTTTTCTCTCTCATGATCGAAAGCACGCACCTACTGCAACCACTCCTCCTCCATCTAAAAAAACCAAGAAAGAAGTGTTTACCAACACACTGAAGAAAACTCAGGTTCGAAACTTCACCTACATGTTATCACTTTAATTATGGCTTATCTAACATGGTTTTGACTTATTTCTCTCACTCTTCCAAGAAACACAAATCATGGAGGAAGATGATGACGTTAAGTCATCATTAAAACCTATCCCACAAGAAGTCCCTACGCCTAAACCTTCTTCTGTTGTCGCCTCTGAATCTAGACCGATTGAGAAGAAGAAGAAA